AGAACTGCCAGATGCAGGGTGGCCAGGAGAGAGACCTACACACATCCTTAAAAGCAAGTCTTTCAGCTTTTGCATTCATAAAGCAAACCTTGGCCTATGTGCTCAGACTCTAATGACTCCCTTCGATCCCTGTTTGGTTTAGAATTTCAGAAATGTCACAGTGCTGCATTCCTTCTCTGCAGAAGAAATCAAACCTGTGCATCTATATTACACAAACCTGTGTATCGATATTACACAACCACATGCAGAATCTTCACAGACAGATTCTGTCCCTTGGAACAGCTTCCACCTTTAAAATAACCTTGCATTTTTCTTTTGAGACTAATGAAAAAGGCTTTCTCCTGGACGAGCCTTCGTTTGAAATCAATTGCAATCAGGAGTTAATTATTTCTAGGATTCCTTCATAACATCTTATACATCCCCTCTTTAAAAACATTTATGGGATGCATGAATAAAGTAACATGCAATTCAATATGGCTCAAAATTTCATATTTGAAAGAACATTTTTAGAAAAATTAAAGTCAGTTTCTAGAGCAAGATATATACTAGTTTCTGAAATGGGACATCCTGGATATTATTTTCTTTATCATGATTTCTTTTCTCTGATAATAAATGAGTAATGGTTTTACTAGTAAACAGGTAAAAAAATAAACCTAGAGTTCTATAGAATGGTAATCTTCCTTGGATTAGTGAATGGCTAAGTTATGAAGTGTGATCTATGTTTTCAGAATGTCTACTTTAAAAACCATATGAATAATTGGTTACAAGACCCCAAAAAGAGAGATACCAAGAAAAAAAATGGTTTTCTGACTAGTTTTATGTCATCTTATCACAAGCAGGAGCTATCTGAAAAGAATACAACCTCAATTGATAAAATGCCTACATAAGATCTGACTGTAGGACATCTTCTTAATTAGCAATAGGTGGGAGAGGGCCCAGCCTGTTGTGGGTGGGAACACCCCTACCTAATGGTCCTGAGTTTATAAGGAAGCAAGTAAGTCCCGAGAGCAAGCCAATAAACAGCACTCCTCCATGACCACTGCATCAACTCCTGACTTCCAAGTTTCTGCCCTATTGAGTTCTTGTCCTGACTTCTTTTGATGATCAACTGTGATAAGGAGGTGTAAGTCAAATAAACTCTTTCCTTTCTAAGTTTTTTTGCTCATGATATTTCATTTTGGCAACATTAACCCCCAACTAAGATAGATGGGGGAACAGCATCACTTGCATCCATTATCAGATTAATAGTAGCGGAAAGAAACCATCCTTGTAGTCTTTCTGACTCCTATTTAACAGGTTCTTAGCTCAGAACTTACTGTGGAGTGTGTACATCGCTTCCTTATTGTCTTGGGTAGTTAATTTGCCATGTGTGTATTCGCGGCAGCACACTCGTGTAGAGAAGACAAAGTTGTCCACTGTCCACCTCAATCATTTCTCCACCTTATTTTTTAAGTCAGGGTTTCTCACCAAACTTGAAGCATTAACTGGATAAACTGGCTGACAGATAAGTTCTAGGAATTCTCCTGTCTCTGATCTTCCCCTTACTTTGGGAATATAGACATAAGCTGGATGCTTAGCTTCTACATGCATGTTGCAGATTCAAGTTCAGGTTCCCATGCTTGTAGAGCAAGCACTTTGCTGCTTGAGTCTTCTCTCTAGCTACATCAACTTACTTTTTAATGTATTTATATTTTTTAAACTATATACCAGAAGTTCCTTTTGGGCAGGAAATGGGCTTTGCCATAGTGCCCATCTTCCTGTTTAGTCTAGAATTTCTTATTTACTAAACAATACATGATTTTGTGCTATCTGTGTTTCCTCTGTCTCTATGTTTGTCTTTCCTTCCATTTTTTACCCTTTTGAAATCTATCCTGGCCACCATTGATGACTTGACATATTGGTTATGATCAAGTTTTTATTCTCTGTTTAATTGTTGAGACAATTTTCCATTGTAGTCAGTAAATCTGACCTTTTACTTCCAAACCTAGAACCATTTCTGTAGTATTAAGAACAAAACATTAAATGACATGAGTGTCACCTTTCTTACTGTAAAATTAAATATTATATATTCAAAAGGCTTAGAATAATTCTGGAATGTAGTAATCAGGGAATAAATTTTATTTTTCTTTTTTCACAAATTTTCATAACTCATACTGCCTTAGTTAAGTCCAACTATCTCTCAACACCTTATGTTTAGTTTCTTTAATCCCTACTTCTTTGTGAGGAAAAAATAAATTAGAAAAAAATAATTTCATTTTTAAAAGAGATATTCCTGGTTAAAAAGTATGACATTTTCATGTTTCAGCACCTACTATGACAGTTGATTAAAATATTGTACATGTCTTCATTTCCCGGACCAGTTCCTTTATTATGTTTATGTCTTGAAGCAATTAATTTGAAAACAAGTTAATATTCACTATATGATATTCTACTTACTTGAAGAAAGTGATGATTGGAATGAGAATTACGGTGTGCCATTCATTTTATAATTTCTTGTCGGAGAAATGTCAAAACATCTATTAACTCATGGATTTATTTATTGAGTACCCATTTATTAATACCTTCCAGACTTAAGACCAGGCAGAAGGAGCTAAAAGTAACTTTAATGTGAAATACAGAATCTTTGATCCAAACACCATGTAGACAAAACAGACATAACAAGCTAAATGACAGTCCCTTGGAATACCAGCTTTCTGCTGTAGACCAGAATACTCTGGTAAAGCAAAGAAAAACAAAGCTGGGAGATTCCTAGAGGAAGTGATGAGAAATAGAGGAAGAGATCTCTTCAGTACCAGGTGAACCCGAAATGTAACTTGAGGGCCGGCTTGTTGGGGTATCTGTCTCACCCAGTACCCCACAACCGGCAAGTCCTAGAGAAAATCAATCACACAGGACTCCATAAGATTATAAAGCTGATTGGCCCATTAGGTCAGGCTACTTATTAGCTCTTATAACTTATGCTACCCCATTATCCTTATCTACGTTAGCACATAATGGCTCAGTACCTTTTCCAGCTGGGCAGCTTACATGTTTCCTCTCCGGTGGTCTGAGCAGGAGTGACTGAGAGAGCTCCTCCTTCCTGGAATACTCCTGTTCTCATCACCCCGCCTCTACTTCCTGTCTGGTTGACCTGCCTATACTTCCTGCCTGGCCAATCAGTGTTTTATTAAAATATGATTGACAGAATACAGACATTTCTCCCACACCACCGAAAGGTTATTTGGCCCAAGATTTTAGGCCCTAATCCAGGTATGTAAATATATTAAAAAGCCTAAAAATGTGTGGCACCCTAAATAAACATTTACAAAGAAATTCAATTATTTAGTTCCACACCAACATTACTGTCAATGTACTTACAAGTCTATGATGTATATGGAAATGTTCTGATTAAATCCATGCTATGAAATTTTGGGAACAAAATGTTTACGAAGGACCACCATTTATGAAACTAAAAAGTAAATTCTAGGTACATTGTAGAGGAAGTAGGCTTAAAAATATACTGACCAATTCAGACACCTAAAGTGGAGCTAGGCTGAGGCATCACCTAAGATAAAATTCTTAAGTCTTTAAATCCTGTCTCACGGGATATCTTGTCTGGGTACAAAATGTCCAGGAAGGCTTAAAATTAATGAGGCAGTTCTTGCAATATAGGCCAAGTGGTTCCTAAAATTGTTGATAATTAAAGTCTCTGCTGGTCCCTTTACTCATATTTGGGTAGCCTTTTCATCCTTACAAAGGATTGTAATTGTCCATCTTTATAACTATAAAAGAAAAACTGGACTCAACTAATACTTATTGAATACGTGCACACAAGTACATGTGAAGAGCAAAACCAGATTCAAATCCTCTGTGTCTGGAATTCCAGGTGGTTGTGAGCTGGGCTGCCTGATGAAGGTGCCTGAGAGCAACCTCTTCCTCTGCAGAACAGGAAATGCTTTCAGCCCCAGACCCACAACAAGACTTTCTTAATAGCACAAATGTTTTCTTATGATTTGTGCTGTTTAAAAAAAGTAAATACACTGAACTAATAGTATTTAATTTAAAAGGAGCCCATTAGATGTGTCTTTCAGAAAGGACTTTACCTAACATTCAGTGCCTTCTGTTACTCAATTTTTGATAACTGACCTACTACAAAGTTTGGATGTGCTGGTTTTCTTCTCACCTTCATTGTGCAAGGTAGATCCTATTTTTCCTATAATACCTGGCTAGGACAGAAGCTTGACTTTCACTTTAAAATTTATTTACACACACACACACACACATACACACACACACACACACAGAGGCATGCACACATACACATGTGCATACTTGCATACACCCGTGTGCGTGTGCCTGCATGCTCTATACAGCTTTTGTATGTTTAGAGACTTTTGTATTTGAAAATAACATTTCTGACTATCCTTTAGGTATCATTTAAAATACTACCTGTGCCATTAACTGTTACCTTCATTCTACCACATAAAAGCAGTTTTCCTTTTTTGGAGATATCTTCACTTTATCTTTTTGTCTACATCTCACTCACTACTAGTATTTTCTCCTTCACGTGAGGGGTTTTTATAATAGTCTGATTTCCTTTCCATTAGTCCGTCAGCATTCTTTATCACAAGGCATTGGAATTAGCATGTGTTCTATTTTTGTGGATGTACTAATAGAATCTGCTTTTGATAAATAACCTTATTAATGGAAAATGTAAACATCAATCACATTACATTTTTAATACTTAGCATTCCATGACCTATAAAAGGCAGTAAAAGCAGGTGTAAACATGATGAAGTTCCAAATAAGTGATTTCAAAATACACAATGATCTTTAACCTTTTAGGGTTAAAAGGAGTTTGGAAGCATTTACTCCTTTCAACCAACAGTAGTGATACATACTATAGAAGCCCATTGTGGGAAAGTGACTTACAAACTTTACATGGCCACATACGGGGAACATAGGTAAAAGCTGGAAGTTCTGATAAAAATTCTGATGATTTTTCTTCCCTTCCTTGTGGAATAATTGACATTAACACTTCTGTAAACTCAGGAACAGTCTATCTCAGCGTTTCTCAACCTATGGGTTGCAAACATAGGAAAACACATATTCTAAAGATCTTAGGAACTGAGACACTGTTCAGTTGCAAAATTACGGTTATGAATAGCGACAAAGTAACTATAAAGGTCTGAGGTCACCACAACATGAAGAATTGTATCTAAAGATCACAGCATTAGGAAGGTTGAGAGCAACTGCTAGAGATCAAAGTGTTTACCCAGAAAGCAACTAAACGGCATGGTGTTCTTCTATGGTGTCTATGGATAGGTAGCTTTGTTATAGGAAACACTTCCACATTGTTTGTCCTATAACTACTCAAGTATCCCAATGAGCTTTTAACCAAATCTTAAGTTTGATATAATATCATTCTTCAAAAATACCAGGTAAATAAAATCACATCTCAACTGTATGCCCTGAGAAATTTCCTCTGAATACAAGTGTATTTTTATTTATTGTGAAGCAAGAATATGATTTTGAATGAAACCAAAGAAAATAAGACTAATTGGAGCCTGTGTTTTAAGCATAATGGCAGAGAGCTTAAGGAAGGCTGAGCTACCTAGTACATATCTCATCTTATTTGGGCAAGATTAGTACAAATTGCTCTAAAATAAAGGAACAAGCTATAAAAATAATAAATTTTCTATGGTGTGTGATTAATACAAATTTTGGTATTTAAAACCCAAATTATCTTATCAAATGAGAGACATGTGAGCCATTCAGAGCATCTTATGACGTTTAGCTTCCCTTGACTCTCATTCACACCATCAGTTTGCCCTGGGGCTTCTCTTTCCTTTCGTAAGAGACTTATCAAAAAACATAATACTTTGTTTTTATTTTTAAAACTTCTCGACCACACTAACAATGCAAGAAAAGCTGAAACATTTTATCAGTCCTTTGATAAAAGCAGTAATAGTTGAGATCTCTACTTTAATTTCTACTTAAAGTATCTTCCAAGCTTTGAAAACAAGTCCCTTACGAGAGTAAATATTTTGTTCCTGAACACTGTTTGTCCTTCCTGGATGTCATTGGGAAGATGATGCATTGTTTGTTATGATCTCTCAATAAAAGCCTCTGCTAAGATGCAAGGTTTCAGTCATGCAGTCATGGCTGAAAGCACTATGGAAATCTTTTTTTTTTTCCATTACCATTTATCTTTCCCTTTATTGCCTTAAAGAGGTGCTAACATTACTCTTAGCAAGGAGGGGCAGTTTTTCTTATCTGGGTCTATGTTCCAATATGTTAATGTAAAAGATAAGGCTGAGGCTAAATTATCTCATTTCTTTTTTTAAAAAAGTGATGCATAAAAGGCATTTCATCGAGCAACACCAACCAAATCATATTTGGTAGTGACATTTCTGGAGGAACAGAGCTATTGCTGATGGTTTGCTGAGAGGAGAGTGTCTTTGCCATATAATTGATATTCCTGAATCCTACAAACATCGTGCTCTCTAAAGAGCTGTATTTTAGACTTCAACGAGGTCGAGTTTTGTTCACAAATTTTAGGGAATTGAAAGAGAGTTTCAAGCTCTACACACAAAGCTTCTCAGCACAAATATTCATGACTAGGTGTTTGATTGTATTTCTGTTAATACAGCCTTAAATAGCATGGTTTGAATCAAATATTATAGAAATGGCATTTAAACTCCTGAAATACATAGAACAGTGATTCTGAATCTCCAGAGTGCATGAAAACAAGCTGGAGAGGTTATTGGAAGGTGTGTTCTGCTCCCTAACTGGTGGGCTTCGGAATTAGTATGTTTTGGGGGGGCACAACAATCTATACTTGTAAGAGGGGATACAGACATGCTGGTGCATGTGTCTTACCAAGACTGCATACTATTCTGGAATAAGTGAATTTGACTCAGAAAATTCTGATGCTCACTGTCATTTTCATAATTGCCACCCAGAAAAGAACACCTTTGCAATAATTGCCTTCAATTGCTCAAATTGGTCATACTGAAGTCTATTTTTGTGTTTCTTTTTGAAATCTCTTTCATTATCTTTTGGTATAGCTAACTTTCCATTCCTTAGCAATAAGGACATTCTCGGTGGAATATCCGCCTCACTTCCTGCATGCCCAGTTCTTTCTCCTCCATTGAACATGCCAGGCATTCTCTAATAGAAAGGTTTCATCATACTTTCGTATTTTTCATAATTATATATTATACTACTTAGGTTGGAATATTTATGAAATTAAAGACTTTTCTTGGCAAACTTTCTGTTATATTTTCCCAATAATCATGTCCTTTATCATAATTATTTATTAATCGCACAAAAAGACATCAAAAGGACAAAATCACATAATCCATCAGATAATATCTGATTTGAGTCTCCTAATGTATTGGTGAGGTATTCAAATCTCAAGACACAATTAGGACTGGTCTAATATGTGCTTCCTTTCATTTATCTATAGCTACAAGTTCACAAAACTTCAACATCCTCAAGGAAAAAGACAGAAGAATTTGATAGGTGGAGAGGCACTGAATTAAACCTACATAACAAAGGCTAAGGAACGCCTGTGTTATTAAATTTTCTCTGTTTACAGAAGGTAAAATCACCTATCTCATCCCTTATTCACTCTCTCATCACTGTTCTCATTGCGCTTCTTCATATTCTGTGTGTCGCATCTTGCAAAAGGATTTTAAATGGATTTTTATGTGGAAGGGTTTATTGAGGAATGGTCTCAGAACATCTGTGAATTATTCACAGAAAAATGAAATTCAAATTTAATTCCATAAGATGTGGAGAAACTGCAACTTGGTTCTTTGGAAGTGGTGAGAAACAGAAGGACTCATTTTGTTTCTGCTGGCTGTGCCTTCTTTTCTTTCTTATTTGAAGTATAAGTTAGGAATAAATTATGCCATTTTGGAGTATATATCTACAAATTAGGAAGATTGAAGAAATAAAGGCAATGGGGATAACTGACCATCATTATAACATGAGCATCATGTTATAATATACCACAAGAACATTTTATTTTTTTCTTTCTCACTACAGATTTATGGAGTTCATTTTACAAAATATATAAAAAGCACATACATTTCATGGGAAAGTAGCAAGCTTGAGAGTCATAAAGCCATATATTCTTTTTATTAATTTTATACATAAACCAAGTACAGTAGTCACTGAATTATACAAAAATTTGAGGCTATAACTAGAATTAGCTGCCAAGAGATTTGAGATCATGCTAGAGGAAATCTGTACAGAACTAGTAAACATGGTCCTGTGAAAGAAGGGGAGTAGCGTAATAAGCATTTTTCACCTTTGCAAAGCCATAATCTATATAGAGATGATGTCAGTCCTGAATAGGCCTGGGTTGCAGCAAGCCCACTGGAGCTGAAGCATGTAAGATGTCGTTCTGATAGGCTTGTTGAAGTGTACCAAGCTTGCCTAGTGAATTATATGCTATGATTATAGGAAGCTGTTTTCTTAAATGGAAGATAAAATTGTAGACATACCCCAATAATGTGCTCAAATAGTTTACAACTTGAAAGGGAGGAAGCAGAGTCAGGTAAGTATCCTGTTATTGTAAACATCAAATATGACATTTAAATGATTGTTCAACTGGTAGAAAAGCCAGGCATTGAGTTGGAATGCCCAAACCTCATACTTCTAAACCATGTTTTGCAACTATGTGTTTTCAGCATGTGAGTAGGACAGAATGAGTTTGGGAAAGAGTGAAAATTTAAATAAACTTTGTTTTTGGTGACACAGCTCACAGCGTTGACAAGTGCCACGAATCTCTGTTATGAGAACTGGATCTACGTTTTTGTTTATGTTATTACCTTCTCTTTCTTCTCAACAATACTTGGTAGCTGTTCTTACTGCATACAGTTTTATGTTAGGAATAGAACCTTCTTAATTAGACAAAAAGGAGGAATTGTTATTGGGATTCAATCCTTTTCTTTCAATGATATCTGGGGTGAGTAGCCGTATGGGCATGGCTTTCCTTAGATACATGCACATAAAACCATGGAAGAGCTCTCTCTCTCTCTCTCTTGTCCTCCCTCTCTTTCTCATGGTCAGAGCAGGAGCAAACCTTGCAGTTGGTCCTCATCACCCTTGGGAAGATTGGCAGGACAATGGCAGCTGTATCATCATCAACATCTACCTTGTTCTGTATTTGTGAATTTATTTTTCCATTGCATCCCTTAATAAATTATTGGTCAGACTTTGTGAGTTCTCTCTTCAAATCTACAGGACATAAGTACTATATTCACTTGTTCCAAAATTTGCTTGATCAATGAAAGTTCTTGTGAGATGAAAACTTTTTACTAATTACAGGAGTTCAATTGGTGCAACAAGTTCTGAAACTCTGTAAACCCTTGACCACCAAATGAGCCAAGGAATAAACTCACTGCATTTTCTTAAACAATTTTCTTTCTCTTTCTGAGCCTCAGTTTAATATTCACAGCAGAAATAAAAAGAAAGGAACATATATTTTGAGGATTTTTCACTTCCAATAGTTTTGGGTTTTATGGATGCTACAGAGCATAAAAGAGGAATCTCACCTACTTGACAGACCTCCTGGGCCTACCTGCTGCTAATGCTAGTATGTTTCCAATCTGGTGTCTTTGAGTAAGTCTGTATTGTTTCTGGTTCCTATTCTCCTAGATAACAGTCTGAGGAGAGAAAGCCAAAAGGACCTCCTGTTTCAGAAGATTCCAAATTGCTTTAGCAGACCTCAGCAATTCACAATGTTTGAAGACACTGGAGATGTATGGATCTGCAGTTGACCCTTCTCAAACAGTACATAATTCTGAAAATACTTGGAGCTCCTCCATGAAGCCATATTTCAGTCACACATTTTAGGCATGCAATTTCAGCCAAAAGTTATAATATAGCACTGCCGAGGACTTTTTTCCCCTTGCAAAAATATGCATTTGGACAAAACATAGTAACCTAAAATTACAAGAATTGAATGTACCTCTTATGTGCAACTAAGTGCTACAGATTGCATGATCAATCATAGAAATGTATAGTTTGATGTCTTCCTAGAGATTTCTCAGTCCAAAGTCCCATATAAGACTTCAGTCTTCCCTGATTCCCTAAGGACCTTTCTTAGCTTCTTGCCCAAACTTATTTAAAGTGTATGGTTTTGGGGACAGAATGATGTGATATTATGCATTTCTTACCTTTAAAACAATTACATCCATCTCTGTTTCTTGCTCAACACTCTGAAATACAAAGAAGGAATGGGGTAGAAATCTTCTCAATGTTATGATCTTCAGTTTGAAGAGAAGAAAGCATTTCCTTCTGCCAGGTGGTTTAGACTGTTCCAACTTCTAAATATAAACAGTCCTTATTTCTTTAGTGGTAATAATATAAGAATTGAAGAAAAGCATAATATTTAAAAAGTACTAGAGCTCTGAATTCCAGTCTCCTATGTATGCAGGAAGGATTATGGATACCCAACTTTTTGTTGCCACATCTCAGCTTCATTGTTTGTGAGTAATGGACATTAATGGTTAGTACACAGTGTGATAATTAGAAGCATTAACGGAGTAGAGTCCATCAGAGTCTATTAGACAAACGGCTTGTGTTGGTACTGGAGGAGCTAGGGAAATGGAGCTGCTACACACTCTTGGTGAGTCCAATGATATTCCATCATGAGTCCATCATAAGTGAGTCCCAGGTGCCCAATACGGAACTCTTCATACTATTGAACTCTGGTGTCAAATTGTTTTGAATATAACTGTGCCCTGGCTCTTTGTCCTCTTGGATAAGAAAGTGTTTCACTTCTTTCTTATTTTATAGGCTCCAACAGTTTAGACAGGCCACGTATATTTTAAAGTGATGGATATTTTAGAGAGAATTTGGATGTTTTAAAAAGACTAATGTTTTAAAGGTTATGGGACTTTTAAAAGTCCAAGTGTGTTTTACATTCAGATACTGACACTGATATGACATTTTGGGGATCAATGAGAAAGGAAAGGTTGCAGCTGATTAACGGATGCGTTTTATGTCAGGTTGATAATGAGTCAATTGTGATGGTTGGTTTGGGTAAGAAACAGTCCTAAATATAAATGATAGGAAGAAATCTTGTTTTAAAATAAATAAATAAATTTATTTATTTATCTTACATCAAGGTCACAGCTTCCCCTCCCTCTTTTCCTCTAAGTCCCTCCCCACACCTTCCCTCTGTCCAGCATCCATTCTTCTCCACTTCTTTTTTATGTTACTTTAAAAAATATTTTTATTCATTTTACATACCAACTATAATTACCTCCCTCCCCTCCACCAGTGCCCTTCTAGTATCTCCCTCAATCTACTCCTCAGCAAGGGTAAGGCAACAGTGCATAACATACATAAAAAGGTTAAGGCAAAATTTTATGAACACTGCTCCCTGCTCTTCAGCGAGTCCCATTTCCATTAGCTTTATATAGAGTTCTTGATTTCAAAAATGTATTTGGAAAAAAAATTTAAATACTAGAGTATTGGGGGGCAGATTAACACCAATCTACAAATTATGTTCACCTATTCTTCATATTTTGAAATTATCTCATATTATATAATTAGTTCAATTAGTCTTTAAATTTCCTGGTTTTTTTTCACCTAGAAAAATGCGATAATTTAATTTCAGTGACAACATATATACATGTTTATAGGAAGAGATGCTAAATTTTAATTTCTATTACTAAGAACTTGAGTCCCACAAAGAAAAAGGAAGAGAAAGAAAAGAAAAGAAGAAAAAAGAAAGGAAAGGAAGGCTAGAGAAGAGAAGAGAGAAAAGATAAGAAAAGAAAATAAATGATAAGATAAAAGAAAAGGAAAGGAAAGAGAAAAGAAATAGATTCTGGTAATCCAATAACCTAAAAGAATCAAACTCTCTGTATTCGAGCAAAGACTTTCCTCAACAATGCAATGAACAGATAGGAGGAGGCTTGCAGCTTTCAGACCTGTCTGCCTGATGAGTTCAGTTATTTACAGCAGACCACACACCACTTATCGCCCATTTATTGTAAAAGAATTTTGTGTGTGAAAAGAATCTCATTCACGATCACACATCCATGCCAAACTGCACATATACTCAGGCTTTTTGGCTATAGTTTACCTATTAAATCATGACAGGAAGAGTCAGTTGATGTTTGAGAAGAGTAGAGACCAGAGAAGAAGAAAAAACTTTTAAATTCTTGTAATTTGAAAATGTATATCTCTTCAGATTGAGATGGTTCTAGTAAGATCTAAAGTCACAAATTTTGGGTCTCTTTGAAAGAGTTCTATTATTAAAACAAAGTGTCACAAAGATTCATAATTTGAAAACTGACCTAGTGATATATGTGGTTTCCCAAATGTTTCCATGTCTACATCCTATGCCAATGTTAACTCTGAAATACTTGTGGCTACAACACTGTTACTTCTTCCTCAAGGCCATCGTGGTTTACTACATTAAACATGTATCGCCTCTACCCACTTAGACCTAGATCTGCACTCTTTGTCTTTGTCCACATTTCTTTGCCAAGTCCTATAAGCAGGATGACTGACTTCCTTGCTGTTTTCCAAAACGAGATTCATAATAAAACCCAGATTGGAGTTCCTGCTCCTGCACTAAGGCGACCCACCCACAGTGTCTGCCGGCCAGGTAGGCCGAAAGGTTCCTTCAAGGAAGTGTAGGGCACCTTCAGCTTCTGCTGCAGGGTCTTCTGTGTTCCACTCCACCCTGCCCTCCCCCCACGGCCGCCCTTTTGTCTGCAGGGTCCTTGGACTACCAGGCGTCCCTGTTTCTGTGCTGAGGAGTTCCATTCAGATGGAAACTTCATCTGGCGATGGATGGAGATAGAGACAGAGACCCACATTGAAGCACTGGACTGAGCTCCCAAGGTCCAAATGAGAAGCAGAAAGAGGGAGAACATGAGCAAGGAAGTCAGAACCACGAGGGGTGCGTCCACCCACTGAGATGGTGGGACTGATCTAATGGGAGCTCATCAAGGCCAGCTGGATTGAGCCTGATGGAGCATGCCATCAAACTGGACTCTCTGAATGTGGCTGACAAGGAGGGCTGAATGAGAAACCAAGGACAATGCACTGGACTTTGATTCTACTGCATGGACTGGCTTTGTGGGAGCCTAATCTGTTTGGATGCTCACCTTCCTAGACCTAGATGGAGGGTGGAGAACCTTGGACTTCCCACGGGGCAGGGAACCCTGACTGCTCTTAGGACTGGAGAGGGAGGGGGAGGGGAAGGAAAATGAGAGGTGGGGAGGAAGTAGAAATTTTTAATAAATAAATAAATGAATTGAAAAAAAAACAGATAGTCTTTGAACCTGTGGTCTTCCCATCTTAGTCTCTTGAAGGCTGGGCTTACAATCATGCCAGCACACCTAGATTTTTCATTTATCTTCCATATTTACTGTTTCTCACACTTTACTTTAGACTGTTACTAGGAGAAAAGCAAGGACCTGAACCTGCTTTTGAAAATACTTGTATATAAACATTACAGAATGATACTTTTTGTAAGGATAACTAAGCATATTATTTTCATTCCTATAATTCACCTTTATCAATTACTAAATTTAGGTTAGCAAATATTGGCTGTAAATAGTGTTTTATAATAATATTTTCCACATGGCTCAGTAATATACTTTGATGGTTCTCACTCTTGTTTATTCTTTCTTGTCCTGACTTTCCCCTCAGTTACCAAACATGGCTTCAAAGTCCTCCTTAATACCACCTTTACGTTACCCATTCTCTTGAGAGTTGAATTGTAATTTTAATGATTTAAGTACCCTGATGGAGGAGGGTTATCTGTCTATTGTGTTATTTACATTGGTCAATAAAGAGACTGCCTTGGCCCCTTGATAGGACAGAAAATTAGGTAGGCGGAGTAAACAGAACAGAATGCTGGGAAGAGGGCAATGAGGCAGATGACATGGAGCCAGCCACCAGGTCAGACATGCTGAATCTTTTCTGGTAAGCCACCATCTTGTGGTGCTACACAGATTATTAGAACTGGGTTAATCAAGATGTGAGAGTTAGCCAGTAACTAATTCTCTAGAGATAATGGGCCAGGCAGTGTTTAAATGAAACAATTTGTGTGTTGTTATTTCCGGGGCTAAGCTAGCCATGCGGGAGCTGGGTGGGACGAAAAGCAGGCCTGCCCGCAGCCCCTTACTACATACCCCATTTCATGACCCATAAAGGTTAAATGAGAATGATTCCATCTCCTAATAATTTTTGAAAAGAACAAAATGAGACACAGCACATAAAATCATACTTATGGCAAAAGTGGATACTCAATAATCATTTCAATGAAATATATTTTGATTTACATATTTACATACCCTTTCAAATAAATAAACTTTAAAAAATATGTAAGAGTCTTTTAGGGGCTTCAACTAGATTTCCCATTTTATTCTGGTATGTAAATTCTTAATGCTACCCTATCCAAGAGCTTTCCTCAAATCATGTCTTCATTTGTTTGACTGCCATAGAACCTGGCATACACAAGTCTTTATGTCATCTATCACTACCATATACTTAATGACCTTAGACTCCCGAGTTAATAAATTCTTCCACTTTGTCTTGCTGCTTTCTGTTCTTATGCTTTCAGATTATATGCCATACATATTGCTGTTTGAAGTATTAGCATCCTCACCCCCCTGACACACAATATATATTCCTATGGTTTTGTGTCTATCTAGAGGTACTATTTAACAGTGAGTGGTGTGTGTGGTTCCTAACCAGCCCCAGGCTACCAACAGGTGGAGCCTCAGTCTCTCTCTTTCTCTCTCTCTCTCTCTCTCTCTCTCTCTCTCTCTCTGTGTGTGTGTGTGTGTGTGTGCGTGCGTGCGTGTGCGTGCATGCGTGTGTGTGTGTGTGTAGGATTATCTGACCCTAACTATTTCTTTGCTTTTTGCTTCCTGGTTGTAATGAGACAAACGGCTTTCCACTGTTTCCACCACGTGATTCTGTCCTATTACAACCCCCCTGCTCTAATAAAGTCAGGTAACTTGAAATCACCAACCAAAACAAGCCCTCCCCTCCCTTCCTTTCTGTTTTCTTCAAGTATTTGTCAAAGAAATGAAAGTCTTAACAGCCCAAATAGGATACATTTAGTACATATTCAACATATGTTTAACATACAGGAAGGAAACTTGGAAACTTTGAACTTCAATCTCATATTGCAGACAATGCCACTGAGACTTGTTGAAAGGAACAAAATCACAAAACTTTAGGC